AGATTTTGATAATTTGTAACAGACTTTTCTTAATTTAAGTAGTGGGCTCACTGCATTTTAAGGTTATAAGTTTTTTCTGCTTGGATAGAAATCTACTTAAAATTTAAATGATAACTGTAAGAAATTTTATTGACTGTGAGGTATTTACAATAATTAAGTTAATGAATAACGAGCGATAGCTAGGGTTCTGGCTCATTCAATATAATCATTTACTGCGCAAGGATAAGGCTAAAATAATATGGAGTCTGCTAGTCTGCAGACTGCCAAACTCTATGTTATCGCACCCTTATGCCATAACTATATACGGCACTTAACGCTGGAGACACCTTAAGGTGGCTTATCATCCTTGTACTCTTCGTTTGAGTGATATTAGACTACAAAACCTAAAAGTATTGAGTAGCAGACTTAATACGTGTACCTATAGACACGAATTCGCTTGTTTACGTACGAAGATTAGCCTGCACTTTTAGATTTTCAACACGTCATATACTTTTTTTCGCTTGGCAAGCTCTGAAATTTGAACTGTATATCCATTGAGTGATACTCTACCATAAATCTTAATTTAAGTGAAATCGCTCAACTTTCAAAAATGTGATGAGTCAACTTAAATATTGCAGAAAGAGCTCAACTAGATGCCGAGCTAAAGCAGTACACGTAGTGTTAAGTATGATATTGAATAATGCTGATGATGCTAAAATAAATACAAACAGTGGCGTAGCGAGGGGGGGGGGGGCGGGCCACCCCGGGCGGCGTGCCGATTGAGTGGCAGGTGAGCGGCAAGAGCTCCACTATGAAAAGTTAAAATCAGAAAAGAAAAAGAAAGGTCCTCATACTCACTATGTGGAGTGTATGGTACTATGTAACTTTAAAGTATCCATTCTTTGATACATAAAGTATCGATACTTTTTCGAGGTATGACAGTCAATGAAGATCATGGCCAATTCACGCTCACGGAAAAAAGTTCTTACCACTATAGCAGGTGTATAAGTACACTGTGACTGGCGGTGTACTTGTACACGTCCCTACGGCGTGTAAATTGGCCACAAAATGCCAAAAACCAACATAGTAATACTGTAGACAGTCGCCGTCAGTCGGACTCACATGCATATATATGTCTCCTACCGCCTGATGCTGCTACTTCTGCTGCTGCTTCTTATGCGCACTCTGCGCAGAAAGGGCAGCAGCAGAAGCAGCACTTATCCGAGTGATGGAGACTATGTTCAGTATTACTATATTGGTTTTTGGCATTTCACAGCCAATTTACACGCCGTAGGGACATGTATAAGTACACCGCCAGTCTCTGTGACTTATACACCTCCTACAGTGGTGAGAACTTTTTTCTGTAATAGCCGTGGTTGAGCTGCTCACAACGGGAAAGAACTAAAGATGACCACCCATACTCCTACTGTAGTTAAGTTAAAGAGGGCACCAATTTTTTTCCAGTGTACGGCACGCAGCAATCTCGATTACCGTGTTAGTCTTGTTACTGAAATATATCAAAGTAAAGTTAAAAAATGAATAATGTTTACTCGCTGATTTTCCCATTTTTTGCATATAATAATAAAATAAGCTCATACTGATGTAAAGTGCGTTATTGTACAGTGTACACTTTTTAGACAGATATTTGCGACCTCCCTGAAACGAGTTTACAGCGATTTGTGTGCTACTGATGTTGAATTTGGGGCACGCATAACCTCCTTTGCTGAAAACATATATACGCATGCATATGTTTAGTGGATTTCAATTTGTTTTAAAATGGTCGCGAATATCTCTATGTTGAGTGTACTTAGTGGAACTGTTTTAATTTATAACATCATTTCTGTTTTACCTAGTCAATAGATACCTGACGTGTAGTCTTTATTTGGATGATTTTTTAAAGTAACAACAATAACGAATTTCCATTTTTTTTCTTTTATATAAGTATATATATATAATGTCATATGATATTTAGTGGAAAGAGAAAGCACGTTATTTATAATTACAAAGAAATAAAAAAATCTGAGTTCTTGGAGTAACTTTTATATTTAGTTGCAGGTATGAAAAGATTCAAAGAAAGCGGAGCGTCCTTCTGAAAAAGACGGAAGTTGGCAGCAGAAAAACAGAAGCAGGAAAGCAATTTGATTCTAAAATTTCTTACCCCATCTGAAACTGAAGATAGTCATAGTCAAACCATAAGTCAAGTTGTACCTAATGCTAGTCAATCAGTATGTCACGTTCAAGACGACCTAAGTGAAACAGAAGTTGAAACGAAGGATCTCAGAATTTCAACCGAAGTTGAAAATTTTCAGCATGCAATAACATCAAGACAAGCTAATATTTCTACTGTATTAAATTTGTGTGACCGACCCTCTAGTTAAGTGAGTCCTCAGTCACCTAGACAAGCTGATCCTTCTCATCTTTTGGAAGCTGAACCTGATTTCGTTCGAGAGTCTGGTATCGATTTAAAGGATGTGGGTGAATGGCCGGCTGCGATAACAAATAATCTTAGGATGTTCCTAGTTCAGGAAGGCTCAACCGCTGTTCAGCACTTAGATTTTTAATTTGCTGAAGTCAGTCGTTCAGGAACCTCGGCAAAAGGAGAAACGAGAAAATTAACCCGTGACTAATTTTATCGCGTACTATCCAATGGTGAAACAATCCTACGATCTTGAATGGTATACTCACCAGCAAAAAAGTCCCTATTTAGCTTTTGTTGACGACTTTTTTCTCCTGTATAGGCCACTAGTTCAGAAACAGTAAGGATGGCTTCAACTCGTATTGGAAGATGAATCCAAAGGTATATGAACACAAGTCTAGGAAATTACACAATGACAACTTATTTAAGTGGAAAGAATTCGAAAGGAGGATCAAAGCAAAATTTAGCGCTGCGCGGGCATTGTACATCGCTTTCTGACAGCGTCGCAAGTGGTAACAGAGGAAACTTTCTTGAACTTGTAACGCTTTTGGCAAAGTACGGCTCATTATTATGTGAACACCTTACGAAGATTAGGCTTGGAAACAAAATTCAAGTTTCGTACCTGTCACCTCAGACACAAAACGAATTCATCAATGTTTTAGGAGATCAAGTTTGCAGTAAAGTTATTCAGGAAGTAAAAGAAAATAAATATTTTTTTATAATTTTTGACAGCACGCCAGATTTGTCTCACGAAGATCAACTTAGTCAGGTACTACGGTATGTGAAGGTTGACGGAGCAAAAGTTAAGGTAGTAGAGTCTTTCGTTGACTTCATAAAAGTAAAGGGAAAAAATGCTAAGCAACTGACACAGATGATCGTGGACAAGATTAAATCCGATGGGCTGGATATGCAAAACTGCAGAGGACAAGCGTACGACAATGCAGCGGTTATGGCAGGTGTATACAATGGAGTTCAAGCACGCATTAGAGCGGAAAATCCGAAGGCGCAATTTGTGGCATGCACAAATCATTCTTTGAACCTGGCTGTACAACATGCCACATCGGCCGCCGTTAATTCAGTCACTTTTTTTGGGTACCTTAAAACGCATCTCTGTGTTTTTTTCGTCATCGACTCATCGTTGGGACGTCCTAACTTATGTCACAAAGCAAGGTGTCAAGCGGTTGATCGATACTCGCTGGAGCGCCAGACATGATGCAATTATTGTAATAAAGAATTGCTATGTGAACATTCTGCATGTTCTAGAACAGCTTTCAACAGATATGACAGAAAATGTTAAAACGAGGTCCGATGCTGGTCTTCTTTTAACTTCCATGCAATCCTTTTCATTTGTATGTTATCTTGGACTCTGGGATGATGCGCTAGTCGAAGTTAATGAGACTCAGGTGTATGGACAGACTAGAAGACTTAATATTAATGCTTATGCAATTAAAGTCAAGGCTTTAGAGATTTTCTTGGTGGAGAATAGGGATAAGCTTGTTGATGATGGATGCAAGTTTGCCAAAGAAATTTTTGACGAACTGGGCATTGAGGTTGTACTCCACCGGACAAGAAAAAAAAAAAAAAATTCACGGCGATGGAGTAGCAGATGCTGGTTTATCGTACGATCTAGAACTGCAGCATAAAATGCTTACGTGTGTAGACAGGATCATCCAGGAAATTAAAATAAGATTTAAACAGCTTTATGATCTTGACGCAAAATTCTCTTTCCTTACGTCATCGAATCTGCTGAACTCTGAATATATTTGTAAATTGGAGGAAGCACCGGATGATATCGATAAAGAAGAATTTTAGCGTGAACGTGAACGGCTACAAAATTTTGGGCGTGCGTCGAATAAAGAAGCAGAAATAATTACTGAGGGACCGCTTGATCTTCTCCAATTCATACAACAACATATTTCAGGCGTTTTAGTTCCAAATATTGCTATAATGTTGAGGATTTTTTCGACAGTGGCAATCAGTGTTGCCAGCTGTGAACGTAGCTTGTCTAAATTAAAATTAATTAAGAACTACTTACGAACTACTATGAGTTCGTTGAGGTAAACTAATTTGGCGATATTGTCAATCGAGCACGATTTAGCAAACGAAGTGGATTTTGAAGATGCTAGTTCAGATTGTGATGCCCGGAAAGCCCGTAAAATTTTTATATAAATTATGTATTTTTGACCAGAGACCTCATAAATAAAAAAACATTTTTACTTGGTATCATGAAGTGTCATTCTTTTTTTTCAATTTTCAACTTCATATATAATGTCNGATTGTGCTCCAAAGTCAGACTAAATTTAAACTAGTTAATTTGTTAAAATTTTATTATTATTATTTTAATTCATTTATAATTTTGTTGGGCTAAAAATTTTGATTTTGTAGGGGCGGCACAGTTTCTTCCGCCCCGGGCGCCACTAACCCTCGCTACGCCGCACCGCTGAATACAAATGCACAGTGTGCTTATGCACTGCCTTATGATAGATATAAAAGATTTTCTTAGCCTACTGAAGCCAGAGAAACAAAACGAGCTTATGGCAGGGTATGATGAAAAATTTTTTTGTGCATTAAATATTGAAAAAATGTATCTTAAAAGCTACATTACCAATCCTGGGTTGATAGCAAGAGACTTTTGGCTGCATTTTGGAAGTCAAATGCTTTTCAAACTTCAGCAGAGCCTGGTTACAATTTCTACAAAAATAATTTTATAAGTAATTGAATAATAATGCATGTGATAAAATCAATTTTTTTTTGAGTTTTTACATTAATTTCATTCAAAAAGTATGTCTGACAATTTTCTTTCATTGTTACATACTTCTATAAAGTTTTTTATAGTTCACGTGCAATTAGACTAATTATCCTATTATAAAAGGAAGATAGCGTTAGTATCGAATTAAAGGTGCGATTACATTAAATTAAACCTGAGATTTTATAAAATGTGCTGAAGTTAGTTGTAAGATTAGATGTCAAACTAACCTTTGGCGCACATCACACGCCCTTCGAGGCTAGTGCAATAAAAGTATTTAGTTAGAAAAAGCTAACGTATAGTAGGTCTCATTTTGTTATCTTTTCAGCCTTAATAAATAGGTTATAGCTTAGTGTAACTTTGAATATCACTACTGTTAAGTTTGCTTAAGGTATTTGGTGCCATTACAATTTTCTGGGATACAGTACTTTTAGAAATATCGACATTGTTCTTTTCTTCTCTGAAGCGTAGTATGTAAAAGAAGTCAAATTTATTAGTAGGATAGAATTAGCAGAAAAGCATAGTAAACTTTGGAAAATTTCTATGACTGTGAAAAGTATTATAGTGGTAGTTATTCGGTTTCTGAACAAATCTTAGTACTTTTAGAATCTGAATTGTGTCAGCTAACGGCCCAAAAACATAGTAAATGTGGGCAAATATGGTTTTTCGCGTCTAGAAAAAAACTGGAGAGTCAGACAAAAAAGTTATTTGGTTGAAAGTGATGTGCAATCTCAAGACAAAGAAAAAAAGTTTCAGAGAAATAAAATTTGCCCAGCCATTTTTTCGCAATTTTCCAAAAAGTGCTCTTTTGAACCATTATTAAAAAAATCTATAACTTACGTTCATTTGAATATGAAGACTTGGAAATTAAATGCAAGCCAGATCTTGTGCCCGTTAACATCCACACTTAATTTTAGGAAAATCAGTTGTAAGCTTTTTGCAAACTACTGCAAGAAGAAAAAATGGTTTCTCTCCAAAAAAATTGGACGTGGCTGGTTTTTCAACATATTGCCATTTTTTGAACGGCATGGTACTCGTCGAGAGATATTCTACTACTTACCAAAATGTCGTTCTAATTGACCTTCTGGAAGGATGCAAAAAATCAATGTCAAAAAACACCCTTTTTCCATGGATGTGGCAGCTTGGCGAGCTGCCGCCACCGACGTAGGCCACCCTCGCTCTTCAAAAACTGACTCCCGGATTTTCAAGTGGCCACGTTTAAACTGAAACTACGCATCAAAAATAACGAGATCTCCGGAACCGTATAAGATAAATTGATTTTTCTTTAAGTTATGAGGTAGCTGTCAATAATAATAAGATTGCACATACTTACAACTTTATGTAAACAATTGGAGGACCGGTGCAATCAACTTTAATACTTTGTTATAACTTACTGTTGCTTTGTTTTTCTCCTAGACGTGTAATGGTTGCAGAGTAAAGTTTAAATTAATTATACAACACTTAAATAACAATAAAATTTTCTTTAAATTGTTGCAAAATTATTTATTTATAATAATAAAATCTTCTTTTTTTTAAAAACGTTTGAAACATCTAAAGGTAAGTAATATTGGGCTAAGCACGTAT